AGAAACAGCCTCAGCTAGCCCTGCTCTGCTCCCAAAGCAAAACTACCCACATGGTGGTTCCTCTTTTTTGATGAAGCATCCTCTCTCACCAGCCGTCTCCTTTCTGAACAGCACTGACTCCTGCCTCTGTTTTTCTCTGCCATATGTTGCTTGTTAATGATGACATCATCAGCCTCAGTTGATTCCATTCAGCTTCTTCAGCCTGATCCTGAGTAAACTCTGGAGGTTAGGACAGTGTTCTCTGAGTAGTGCTGCATGGAACAATAGTTCTGTAGAATAGTGGAGGCGTGGGAGGGCCCTGATACAGAACAGTGATGCTGGGGGATGTTAGTAGATAGTAAGTGAAAAAAGGATTCTATGGTACAAAATTTGGGGAACTGCCAAAACCCCCATCACCTCTGAAACCAACTGCAAGTTCAAGAGTCCCCAAGACTATCACTTCTGATTTCAGCTACAAGTTTGGAAGTCCCCAAGGCCCCTCCTCAGGTTCAGTAATTCACTAGAAGGGCTGATGAGACTCCCGATTGTGGTTTATTACAGTGAAAGGATGCAAATTAAAATCAGCCAAGGGGAGAGGCTTGCAGGGTCCAGGAGATGCCAGGCATGAGCTTCCAGTTGTCCTCTCCCAGTGGAGCTGTACACACAGTGCCTGTTCTCCCAGCAACAAGATGTGTCAAAACACACGGAGTACTGACAACCAGAGGAGCTCACCCAAGCTTGCGGGCCAGCGACTTTACTGGGGCTTGGTCACGTGGACATGGTTGGGCACTTGTGTGTCTCCAGTTATTCTAAACGTTGAGCTAGTACTGCATGGACCAGCTTTCCCCAGCCCAAACCACACTGTTAGCATAGACTATCTGGTGTGGCTTAAAAGCTCCAGATGAACAAAGACACTGATCTCAGGTAGGTCATTTCAAAGGTTTAGAGGCTACTTCCCAGGAGCTGAGGGCAAAGGCCGAAACTCCCCTTGGGCAAGGCTCATCTTTTACTGCACGTACCCACATGACACAGAGCAGGTCACTGCCCATGCTAGGAAAGCTCCAGGAGGCGCCCATCACACCAAAATAAAACCAAATCCCCTGCCCTCATCCACAAGGCCCCACGTGATCTGGCCTCTCCATGTCCCTCCCTCTCACTATATTCCAGGCACACTGATCTTCTTTTGTGTGTTTAAGGACATGAGGCTCTTTCCCGGCCTTTTCAGTAGCTGTTCCTTCTGCCTGAAATACTCTTCTCCCCAATCCGCACATGATTGGATTCTTCTTGTCATTAGATCTCAGCTTAGTAAGTGTCATTTCCTCAGAGGCACCTTTCCTGTCTGCCCAAATTAAAGGAGTCCCTGAGCCAGTCCCCATTATATTACCTTGTTATATGCTCATCAGAGCCGCGATCCTTGCCTGTTATCTTCTAGCTCACTTACCTGATAAGTTGCCTTTAGCAGGCTCCTTTCGTGGGAATGCCAGAAGAGTAGGATTCCTGACTTCTCTATTCCTGGCACCTAGGATGTTCTGGGCCTGGAGGAAGTGCTGGGTGACTCAGTGAATGAATGGACCAACCGATGAATAAATAATCAGCTTTACAAATGCTGCCTTAAACAAGATCCAGTAGAATTCTTTACAGCAAGACTTTCAGAGCCTTTAATATGCTAATACAAATTGTGACTCTCTGAGTACCTATCCTATCCATGCTCCTAGGAACCCTTCACTGGGCACTGAGGTTGAAACTTGGCACTTTTAAGGAATCAGATTTGTCTTCACGTATCAACTAACATTTTAAAGGAAGTAAATCTAACATATTCTAAGGAACACATCCTTTAAAACTCCTTTTATTCTTTCCTGCCCCATCCTTTAGGACTCTGCGCTCTGCTAACTGATCTGATCTATTCATTCGTAGGTAGGCATAAATGTGTGGTACCGCCTTAGGGCCTTTAATCCACTCATTTTTTTACTATATGAAATCCTTATTGTTACTAGAAGCAGGATACAGTGGTAACAACAGTGGTAAGCTGGTGAAAGGTGATTCCTGGAATGGAAGCTTTTGATATCTCTCAAGTTTTATCTCCAAAGTGCCCATTTATGCCCTGTATACAGAAGTTTTGACTGTTGACCTGATTCGACGTGACAGAATCAGTTACTGATAGACCTTTCTTCACAGTCCTTGGTAACAGTATTTTGGAAGTGGCTTTTAAAAATTCTTTCTGTTGGCTGGATGCAATTTTGCTATAAAAAATCATGTTATTTCTATTTGAAACTTTAGAATTGATGAGGATCACATGACTATTTGCAGATACTGAAGATCCTGGTTTATTTCTTCCCATAGAGGGAAGGCTACCGATAACTGGTTGGGGCAGGTGCTTATTCCAGATGCCTTCTCTCTACGTCACCCTCCTGTCGTGGGGGGATTAGGTGCCAGACATGGTGGATTAAAACAATTAGAATGGCCCTGGCTGGTATTTCCTCCTGTCAAGGTTTAGTTTAGGCTCTGTTAGAGCTGGTGTGTTTCAGTTTTGTCCTTATGGCTAGGGCATGGTCCCTCCTGGCCTCTCTACCTTGAACTCTAACTTCAGACTCCCCAGTTGACATAGGGAATGGGGATCCTCTCACGCAGTAAATTGGTCCTGCATCACCGCCTGTACTGGCTCTTCTTTGAGCAGAGCACATCATTACTGGGATTTGGGAGGCTGTGGATTTCCTTTGAACTTGTGTCTTGGGCTCTGTACCAGCCCCAACTCCTGCTTATGGAAACGTGAAGTTCTAATTAGAAGTTCAAAGCATTCTACACTGTAGATCCCTATGCAGAGAAACCACCCATGGACACAAGGCTTGGGTGCTTCTGCTCCTGGTCAGCCTGTGTCCATCTGTAACCATGTCCAAGTGGACATTTCCATCCATTGAGTTTACTGCCACTAGCTGGCCACCTCCACAGTATCCTGGTTAATTCTTGAACAAGTTTTAAATCAATCATGAAAATAGCTGTTAAGTCATATAAATCACCACCACAGGATCTACTTACAGCCCAGATTTTACATATGGGTGCCTTGATAAATGTGTTTTTATTTGCTGTGAATAATTTCGGCATAGGGATAATGAAAAAAATGTAATTCACATTTTTCCATTAAGAAGAAGGCAGCAGTGGTGGACGAAGAGCTGTCAATTATCTGTGACTCCAGTCATGATTATTCTGGGATTGATTTGAGGGTTTTTCAGCTATTCTTGTAGGAAAACTATGGGTTAAACATGAACAGCTAGAAAACCTCTTTCCAGAGTCTGAGACTCCAAAGTGAGAGGTAAAATTGAAACCAGAACCTAGTTCTCCAGCCACAACTCTCTGCTGAAATCTAGGGAAGGGATGATGATGGGCTTCCCCGGGGGAAGGCTTAGCTGCCAGAGCTGCCCGCTAGCCCGTTAATCAGCCTCTCACGGGGGCTGTGGGCTGCCAGTGCTCTCGGGCAAAGGCCCCCGTGGCTCTGCTCAGCACCTCTTCTTTGCCAGGTGTGTACAAAGGTCTGGAGGCACGGAGTGAATGTCAGAGGAAGTGGTGACACCGTCCCAGTTTTCAGGCTAACTGTGGTGACGAGGGCTGAGCTAAAGGCGGAGCAGGGCTTGCCAGCGTTTGGCTCCGGATGGACCCACAGGAGACGGTGAATGGCCACCAGCCCTTCACTCCCAGCTGCCAGGGTCCTCCTCTGCCTGGGAGGTCAGAATTCTGTTTTCTGCAGTCTGTTGTCAGATTGCTCCCAGTAAACCCAGCCCCAGACCCACATCAAAGCTCCTGGGATGTGCTCTTTTTAAAGCCACCCAAATTCTCAGCCCCCAGAGCCAGCCACCAGCCAGCCACCTGCGTGAGGGTTCCAGGGCTCAGCACTGGATACTATTCCAGCCTCTTCGAGGCTTTGGGGAGTGGCTGAGAAACCCACTGAGAAATTTCTGGGGGAAGTTTCTATGATCATTAAAGTGCTGTTTTTAAATTTTGCCTTGTTTCAAAAAATTAAGAAGGAACAAACTGGGGATATAACCCATCTGTATGTCAGGGCCTCCCTGACTCTAAAAGCAGTAATAAATAGCTCGTGCTTATAAGCACATATGCATGTAAAATCAGGGATCTGTCCATGTGAGATGGAGAGAGACACAGGGTGACCAAGGTGGCTTAAACCAGATGGGAAATGTTTTGAGGGGGAGGGGACAGGGGAGCAAGATCCCAACTCGACAGCACAGAGTGGCCCATGTGGTAAACTGGACATAGAGTTAGATGCAGATAGTTACAATTGATTAATTTATTTTATCTTTTAATCATTTTATTGCACGGGTGCCTTGTTCCCCCAGCGCCTGCCTCCTGACTCCCGCGTTGCCTCTTCCCCTCCCCTCTACCTGCATTCTGCTCTTACTCCATTTTTAGGGGGAAGTAGAGCTGCTTCCTCTGGGCCTTTATAATATGGGCAATTGTATGTACTGCTTTATTTGTTCTTTTAAAAAACAGATAAGATGTATGGGAAATACTAATAGTAGATGCAGCCACAGCTCAGCCCCCTGCTGTTCTGCAAAGCACATTTTCTTATCAGGCCCAGGCCCTCACCACACAGACAAGTGGCAGCCTGACTGGGCGAGACCAGCCAGACAGGCCACATCGTGCTGTAACGGGCCACAGAGATGGTGAAGTGTGCAACCAGATGTGTAGTTTAGGTCAGTCCCCAACTTTTGTCTTTCTTCACTTCTTTCCAAAATTGTCTGCAAGCTTAACTGTATGATGTGAAGTGTCGCAGGCAAGAAACAAATCTCCTTTTGTGCTTGGACCGCCCGCGCCCTCGGTCCCTCTTCTTGTTTCTCTGTAAGCAGGTTCTGCTGCTTGTCATCGGGACCTGAGCCCAGTGATAAGTAAGGAACCATTTATCAGATTGCCATGTAGGTTGAGACCAGGTCTGAAAATAAGAGCTGTCTGGTGAAGCTGTGAACCACAACTGTTTTCAATTTCCAAAATAATGTCTCCCCTTGACGCAATTGCAGATTGCCGGATCCCACAAATCGAAGATGCTGAGATTCATAACAAGACATACAGACACGGAGATAAACTAATCATCACGTGTCATGAAGGCTTCAAGATCCGTTACCCCGACCTATACAACGTGGTTTCCTTATGTCGCGATGACGGAACGTGGGACAATCTGCCCATCTGTCAAGGTATGGGGCGGAAGCCGTGGTTCTCACCTTTTCTTCTTTCAGACTTGATTGCGGATCGTGTACGTGTTTCTCTAGGACAATGGTAGCAGTGACAGAGGGAAACACAAAGCCACGCATGCCCATGGTTCGGCTGGACCCCAGTCTCGTCACCAAAGCTCTGTTCTTGGATCACATCTCTCTCTGTGGCTCTCTCCAGCTCCGCACACCCTGCTTGAAAGTTTAAATGGGAAACACCTTATTCTTTTGCATATGGGTTGTCTCCTTTACTCTAAGAAACCGAAAGTAGCTTCAGAATTAGGAGCCTTGTAACTGGGCTGTGAATGCAATGATGAACTATTGTATATTTAATGGAAATAGCAGAGCATTTATACTGATTTCAGTAGTGGTGCGAATATATTTAAAGCCAATCTTACAGAAGCTATTTTCTCTTAATAATGTCATCCCTTTTTATAATGCATGAGCAGCAAAAAAAAATAAATCAAATTCAAATTTCATCCAAACCATACGGTGAATATTTATCCTCCTGCATTTTTAAAATTTGCCTGGGCCGACACAGAGGGCCCTGTTTGTGAAAAATAAGCCCTCGAGTTCACATTAATTCTGATTTTATTTTTGACATGTGACTTGGACCGAAGGACCAAGAAGCACATGCATAATTCATAATTCAAGGGAGAGGGCGAGCAATCTTATTTGCACCAAAAGCACTGGCATGTTAAAGTTGAGACGGATGTTAACTTTATGCTTGGAAATCACGACTGGCAGACTTTGATATTGCTTCGTGTGTCCCAGAGTTGGAAATAAATCATTTCCTTATGTGAGAGCTTAAGAGTCACGGCCCCTTGAAGAAACAAAGGCTTTAGGATTAGGAAGGCAGAGGGAGCCCCCAGTCCTCACACTCCTGGGTTTCTCCCCGGAAACTTGCTGTGTTGTTTAGTGTGTGAAGTATTACATCTTTAAAGGAGATGCGTGATCTAGTTACACTTTCAGAGACTGTCCACAAAATCAGCAGCCGGCTTTTAGGTGGGGCTGTTTATTCAAATGGACTTTATTAACCACTGATTCGTTCCAGTCCCATGGCGAGATCCGAGTAACGGCCAAGAAAATGACTTCAGACTCCAGACACTTCTTTTTTTTTAATTGAAGGTTTACAGTGTTGTGTTGATTTCTGGCATATGCAGCCACTTCCTGCTTTCATAGTTTCCACTTACCTTTCTGTTCTCCCACCCTTTCAGTGTCCTT